AACTCGCTCAGCATTTCTTAAGCTCATGGAACTGAAGAACAATCCATATTGAAGACTACAATTCTTCACCTTATGCAACAAGTGCTTCAGATCATCCTCCATTTCAGCAAGCAAGGTTGTGTCATCTGCATGACACAGGTTGATGAGTGTTCTTCAATCCCGATGCCACATTCCTCCTCATAAAGCCCAGTCTCCCCGGTGATCTGTTCTTCATATAGATTGAAAAGGTACAGAGGATACATACATCCCTGACACACTCCTTTCCTGGATAGTCTTTATCAAGATTTTGCATACGTGTGATACTAGCTATATTATTCAGTAATTTCCACACTGTGCAGGGTCACCTTTTTTTGGAATGTGAATATGAATTTCTGCCAGTTAGCCAGGTAGCTGTCCTCCAGATTTCTAGCCACAACCTGGCGAGCACATCTAGGGCGGCATCTCTTTGTTGTAATATATGTCAGTTGGTATTCAGTCAGTCAATTCCTGGGGCTTTTTTTCCCCCAATTCCTTCAGAGCAGCCTGAACTTCTTCCATTGCCTCTTAATTGCAGGTAAAACCTAGAAGTTTGGACCGAGGCAGTCAGGAGATAGCCTGAATTCCTATTTTGGTTTTGTTTTTGTTTTTTAAGGATTAAAAGATTACCAAAAATGTAAAAGATTTAAGAGAGTTCTGGTGGCCTAGTGGTGAGAAGCTGCACTGCAATCCCAAAGGAACGCGGTTTGAAGCCACCAGCTGCTCTCAAGAGTTGGACAATCTCCTATTAACCAGGCAATCTGAAAATCTGCTGGAGGGTCAACTGTGGGTCAGTTCTGACTCTACACAACAGCAGCAGTCAGTGTAAGGAATAAATGCATTAGTGAAAAAATCAGTTAAAAAAAATGTAAACGGTCCTAGTGTCTTATCCTTCTGTAATTTCCCCCCACCCCTTGAAGATAACCTGTTTCATTGTATATATAGTAAGGTCATGTAGTGAAAATAAATTAACCAACCATTTCATTTACTTTTTCTCTTTCAGATCAGTGCAGTGCGCTTACCACGTGAACCCAGCAATCCAGAGAGATTAAAAGGTTTTGGATATGCTGAATTTGAGGACCTGGATTCCCTGCTTAGTGCCCTAAGCCTCAATGAAGAGGTAAAGAAAGTAAAGGGAAAGAGGTGGGAGCTAAGATTGTTAATTTATTTGCTAATCAAAATGATGCCTAGGTGGGTCTGTAACTTTTCAGGATCTTACCTACTTTTAAAAGCTGGATTTTTCAAATAGCCCCCTTAATGTCCATCCTAGCAGATTATCACACCTCAGTGTCAGGATTTCAGTAGACCCTAATAATTCAAGGTCTTTTAGGTGGAAAATTGTTGAAAAAACCCAACAGTGTTCATGCCTTCATTGTTCCTCCTCTTCCTCTCCTACCACTAGTCTGAGCTGACAAGGCAAATGATTAATTCCATTAATCAATTTAATATTGAAAGGTAATTATCATGGGATTCCTTAGGGGTATGGCAACATTTCTCACTTGACTATCTTTTGTAATAAATGCCTCTAGCAATGTTTTCCAGAGGTTACAAGAGAATGCCAGGATATAAACATTTGTTCTTTCTGCTTTTCAATAAAATTAACCAAGACATGAAAGGTTCAAGAAGGAAAGAAAATTCAGCAATTGATACATGAGGGGAAAATGAGAACTAATCAGATTGTGAAAATTCTTTGAGTGATACTATGTAGTGATTGACTCAAACCACAGATAGAAGCATTTAGTTACTTGTAAGAGATGAAAGTTTCTAATTCAGGAACTTTTTACTTTTTTGGGAATTAGTTATTACATGTAGGAAGGAATTTCTCCTCTCCACCACCCCCCACTTGCAAGAGCCCTTCTTTATTGAGAAGACAGTTTCTAGTGACCTGATTTTATAGTTAAAATCCACCATTTGACTTGAAGATTGAATTCAGTGGTTCTTATTATTTTTGCTATCTCATAGTTGAGTGAGTGCCATCACAACAGTGGTCATAAATGTCAAATGAGAGTTGTGCAGTGATGCCATCATAGTTAATCTAATTTCAGGTGTTTGTAGCTAAAATTCATTGTTTTTCTTCAACTGTAGTGTCTATTAGAAATGTCAAATCAACAATAGAATAATTAGGTTCACAGTTCTCTTTTTTTAAACAAACTGATTTATCCAAGGATAATAATTGAATGAAAGGGCCTAAGATTATGGATAAGAGACCATCATGTATATTTTACTAATATTACTAATCATCAGCTAGACCTCTTAGTCTGGATAAGATCTAAATGGGTCGGGGGAACTACCCACAGCTGTCTATCTTTACAGACGCACTCTTCATTCTCTGTAATGAACAGCTGGTGGATTAACAGCTAGAGTGAATTTTTGGTTGGAAACCAAATTTTTTAATCACTAGTTAGTCTTATGGCATAAACCCTAGTGAATTGGCCTGCTAACTCAAAGGTGGTGTGTTTCTGGTGCTTTGATTCCACTAGTAAATTTGCAGGAGAAAGAGGGGAAATCTCCTGTGTGACATCTGAAAGCCTACTGGAGAGTCAGGTATGAGTTGATTCTGACTCAGTGACAGTAAAGGAATAGTGACACCAGGTCTTCTTCATGCAGTGTAAGGGTTCTGTAGGTGTTTGAGTAATTGCTGTTAGCGAAAGAGAAACCTTTCTTCGTTTTTTAAAATTGCTTTTTGAGGGCTTGTTTTTCACTTTTTCTTACTATTTTTTGTGTTGTACCATCAGATCGGATCTGACTGGTACAGGAGGAGATTGCCCCTTCTTCTCCAGGAGAGCTCTGGTGGATTCAAACCACCTACGTCTGGAATTGCAATGCAGCTTCTTGCCACTAGGCCACGAGAACTCCCTGGCTTGTTTTTCTTACACTTGAAAATTAGACAGTTAAAAAGTTAATTTTGTCTATGACATTTTGCTTTGAAACAATAAAAAGATTGGTTGACCTTAAAACTATTGAAGCTAAAAAAAAACCCACCCCTATTGAAGCTCATCTTAAATTCCTATGGAATTATTTTCCATTTTGAAGCCTTTATAAAGGATTCTTTAGCTAACAGGTGGGAGTGTTAGCTAGATTACAGTGTTTTTCCTTTATCTTCCTTCCCCCAGTGCTGCTTCTATGCCCAGACGTTCAAGGTCACTCATGGGATATGTGCATAATAGGGCAAAAGGTTGGTTAATGTGGTCCTATGCTCTCAGTCTCTAGGTAACAGGAGAATTCGAGTGGATGTTGCTGATCAAGCACAGGATAAAGGTAAGAAAGTTAGTAGAAGTTTTTCTATTTTGTCATAGTCTTAGACAAAGCAGAAGTATCCTCTGTTTTTTTAATGGAGGGAAACTTGATATTTGGAAATAGCTTTGTATGTCACAACTGAGGAGAGTATAAATAAGTCTAGAGGTGTTGCACAGAGTAGATTACACCATCTTCAACAAAGAATTATCCAGGCTAAAACTGCAGTAAGATGGAGAATGGTTATGTTACAAATGTATTCAGTTACTCACAACATAATGGGCATAAGGACCGGTCTAATTCATACATACGAGCAAGCAAGCAAGCATATGTTTCAGGCTTCCTGGCCCATACAGAATTTGAGACAGGTGAAAATTAAACCATTGGAAGTAAATATGAGGAAGAGAAACAGTCAGTTACGTTAGACACTTCAGAAGCTAGACAACAGCTTGGTAAAACTGTAATTAAAAGAAAATACAGTCTAACTAGGGTATTTTGCTGTTCATTTACACTGTTCTGGAGCTCTGATGATTGAGTCCTTAAAACACCTGCTAACCTGAAGATCAGCAGTTTGAACCCACCAGCCACTCTGTTCAGGGGAATTGTAATGGTCAGCATCTTTAAAAAACAAGGCATAGGAAACCCTGTATAAGGCAGTTCTACTCTGTTTTATAGGGTTGCTATGAGTCAGAATCAACTTGCTAACAGTAGGGGTTTTGGTTCTCTGATTTTTTTTTTTTTTCATGAGAGATGATGGACAAATATTTTTGTGAGCTAACTGTTTAGGGTTTTATTTTAATTTATAGACAGAGATGATCGTTCTTTTGGCCGAGATAGAAATCGGGATTCTGACAAAACAGACACAGACTGGAGGGCCCGTCCTGCCACAGACAGCTTTGATGACTATCCACCTAGAAGAGGCGATGATAGCTTTGGAGACAGTAAGTTTACCTGTTTTAAAAAAAATCCTTTCCTTCATACTCAGAATTTTAATAGTAGGAGAAATTAACTGGTGTATGAAACCATATTAACAATGTAACGAAATGAAAGCAATAGAACTTATACTGAGTATTATATCCAAAATAATGGATAATGGATGCAGAGAAAGACTAGCGTAAGTATCAAGGTTTATAGGAAGGATGGGGTTTAGTTTATAAATCAACAAATTCTACAAAGTAAAATATTTGAATCAAATTAGCATTGAGAAAAATTACCAGATCAAAAGCACTTTATAAAACAGTGATTGCATTACTAGGTATTTGCAACAAGCAACCGAATAACTTGGTTTAAATTTTCTTTTTGTTAGAAATTATGTACCGCAAACCTGAGTCCCATTCCAGTTTCAAGACACTGGTGGTAGTGATGGTTGTGTACCAATATTATTTTCCTTTTTATTGGTTAGGTCACTTTGACTCAGTTAGATTTCCCTATTCCCAGACCTTCCTTTTGGTTTTGAAGTTTTTTTGCTTGATTTAGGGAATGCAGTACTCACTGGTGACATTGTCTATTTTTTGGCTAAATTGTTGGTCAATTTAAAGGTCATTCGGACAATAGTTTTAATTAAGATTATAGAGTAGCTCTGAGCCATAGTCTTAGAATTCTCCAGCCTCAGTTGGTCTGGATTCTTTAAAGAATTTGAAAATACTGTCACTCACTCACGCTTCTTTCTCTTTTGTTACAGACAAATAAACCAGTAGGGTTTGTTTTGTCTTGGTTGGTTTTGGTTTTGTTTTGGGGTGGTTGTTGTTTTTTCTTTAAGAAATCTATTATGTTCATGAACTAGTTTGTCTCAGTGACCAAGGTCCTGAGCCCCCAAATTAAGAAAATTAATCCCTTTAAATTAATTGATATTGGCTGTCTTTGCATTTCCGCCAGCTCATAGCGATCCTCTGTACAACAGATTGTGACTCAGTCCAGCATCATCCTCACATTCTTTACTGGTCTCTTGTTGCACCATATCAGTCTGTCTATGAGCATTATCTTTCTTTTGATGTGCTTTCCCAAGGACTGTCGCCTGTCTAAGGAGTATTCCTGCTGCACCTCTTTCAAGACAGACTTCCTCTTCTCATAGTGCGTAGTTAATTGCATAATCCTATACTGCAATTCAGAGCCATCACGTCTTTGGTCATCTTTACTCATCATTTTCCAACTTTCACATGCCTATCAATCAATTGAAAGTTGTCTTTAAATGGCTATTTTAAAGAAGCCCTAGGCTACAGATTTGCCAAATGCAGTGCATCTTTTTAGATGTTGTTTGTGGATCCAAGTAAATTGTTCACACCTTCCACTTTCTCCATATATAATGCCTGTTGATCCAGTTGTGAGACATTTTGTTTCTCTTGGCATGTGCTCCATTGTTATATGCCACTGAGTTGCCTGTGACTTATGGTGACCCTATGTACAGGAGCTCTGAAGCCTTCCCTATCCTGAGCCAGTCATACTGACCCAATACACCTACACTCATTTCCCAGCTACTGTGTCAATCCATCTCATCCAGGGTCTTCCCCTTCTGCGCTGTCCCGCCACCCTTCCGAGCATGATGTTCATCTGCCCAAGGTATATTTTGGAGGCTGTATTCTTTGATCTTTTTCAGTAAGTGCTTTAACTCTTCCTCATTTTCAGCAAAATTGTTAATGACTTCTTCCTCAAATTGTGATGCCATTAACCTAATTTGTCCAGTTATTTGCTCTGCATACAGACTGAATTGTTAGGTGTTGTCGAGTATAGTTCATAACAACCCTGCTTTTCCCAGTTTTAAACCATGTGATATCCCCATCTTGTGTTAAGATTGCTTCTTGGTTTGTGTGTGAGTTCTACATGAGCCCTGTTCTTAATATTACCCACTACCTATTCTCAACGTTATCCTTAATTTAATATGATCCACAGAGTCAAATCCCTTTGCATTGCACGGTTCAAATCCACCAGATGCTTTGCTGGAGAAGAAGGAACAATCTCCTCCTGTACCAGTCAGATCTGATTTGACGGTACACACACACAAAATAATAAAACTAAAAAAAAAAATAATAAACCCTTTGCATAATTAATAAAGCATAAATAAACTTTTTTTTCATTCTCTACTTTTGACCAAGCAAGATCCATCAGACATCAATAGTGTTGTCCCTCATTCTATGACCTTCTGAATCCAGCTTGAGTTCTTAAAGAGTTCTTACCTCAGATTTTTTTTTGGAGTCAGCACAAATGATGCATCTCCCCCAGTGAGTTGGCCAGGTCTTCCCTATTTTTGACATAGACAAGTGAGCATGCCCAAAACTGCATTTTGTTAACACCTTAATTGATTCCATCAGTGCCCTGACCCTTCTTTTTTGCCAGTACATTGATGATAACTTGAACTTCTTTCTTAGGTATCACTGCATCTTAATCATGCTACCTCTTGAAATTGTTCCTTGTCAACCAGTTGTTTTTTTTGGTACATTGTTTCTTTTCTCTTTTTTTTTAATTATGTGTGTGTGTGTGTGTGTGTGTGTGTGTGTGTACCGTCAAATTGGATCTGACTGGTACAGGAGGCGATTGTTCCTCCCTCTTCAGCAGAGCATCTGGTGGATTTGAACCGCGCACCTCTGGGATTGCAGTACAGTTTCCTGCCACTAGGCCACCAGAGCTCGCCGGTACATTGTTCCTATTCTTCCCATCTTTCGTTTCTTTGTTTGTGTGGTTTTGGTTTTTTGTAGGTTGGTTTGTGGGGTTTTTATTTTACATTGCTTTGCTTACAGAGTTCATACACATATGTTTCATACTATCCTTCACTTGTATTTTCACAAAATCATTACTATTCATTATGTTTTATAAAATTAATCACCATTGAACTATGCCTAGCTTTACCCTGTCTTACCAGATCTCTACTGGATCTTTCCCATTTCCTTTACTCCTTCATGCATCCACAAAAGTATGTTATTCTGTGATATTATCCCCTGCCCATCATTACCTCTCTGCTCCCACTCTCCCACCTCATATGTTTTACTAGTTTTCTGTTTCTACAATAATGATTTTTATGTGGTATTTGTCCTTAAGAGACTGAGTTAATTCACGCAATATAATGCCCTCCAGTACTTCCCAGGTTACTTAGTAATTTTCTAAATGTTGCTCTTGAGTGCTACATAGTATTCCATATGTGATTGTATCAAAATTACTCAATCCATTAGATTATGTTTGGACTTTTGGGTTGTTTCCATGTTCTTGTAATGGTAAATAACACTGCTATAATAAGCATTGGTGTACTGATCTCAACTTCTTTCTCAATTTTAATTTCTTCAGGGTATATTCCTAGCAGTGGACTCTCTGGGCCATATGAAATTTCTGTGTTCAGCTTTTTGAGAAAACGCCAAACTACCTTCCAGATTGGTTGTACTATTTTTACAGTCCCACCAACAGTGTATTGGAGTTCCTATCTCTCCACGTCCTCTTCAATATTTATTATTTGCTGTAACTTTCCCATTGCCACTGGGGTGAGATGATATCTCATTGTGGTTTTGATATCATCTCTCTTACTACCCATGATTTTTGAGCATGTCTTCATGTGTTTATTGGCCATCCAAATGTCTTGCTCTCTGAAAGTCTTTCCATGGCTTTTTCCCATTTTCTTATGGAGGCCCTGTAGGATTCTATAAACTTTTGTTTTGAGATAGATGGTATTGCCAGATGTTTTTTCCCCAGTTTGTAGATTTTCTTTTCTCCCTGTTGGAAGCAGTTTTTGATGTACACATGGATTTATTCTTCAGAAGGTTGGATTTATCCATTTTACCCTCTCGTACATTTCTGGCTGTGTTTGTCAGCCTCTTTATACAGTAAGCTAGGCCTTCTAAGCTTGGTCCCACTTTGTCTCTTATGATGTTTATGGTTTGGGGCTTTACCCTTAGGTTGATTTTTGTGTATGGTGTGAGATGTGGATCCTGTTTCAGCTTTCTGTAGGTAGCAGCAGTCCAGTTTTGCCAGCACCATTTGTTAAAGAGGTTATCTTTCCTCATTTGATAGGTTTTGTTTCCTTGTAGAGTATCAGTTGACCATAGACCAATGGGTTAATTTCTGGGTTCTCTTGCCATCTTCTTTTGATCTTTCCTGTGTTATTCAGTATTTTGTGCATAAGAACTCTTCAGAATTTCAGGTTAAGGCTTGGAATTTTATTACTTCAATTCTTTCAGCTTGTTCAGAACCATCAGGTTCAGTACACTTCATAATGACCCTCTGAACATTGGGGACCCTAAATTGTGAACAGTTTACCCTGTCCTCTGTTATCTGTATTATTTCTGATATACTGAGCCCATGGTAACAGTCACTGTGTTGATCTGTCTCTTTTAGGGTTTTTCTTTCTTATGCTAACTTGGGATAAAGTCATGATCTTATCTCAACACTTGTGGGCTTTGCTTGCTTTTTTTTCTCCAGTCTCTTTATAATGCTTCGGTGATTCAAATCCAGCTTTAACTCTTCAGAGAAAGACAGGCCGTCTCTCTCATGTGATTCATAGCCTCGGAAACCCAGGGGAGGAATGAGTTGCCCTTTAAGAATAGGACATGGCTTAAGTAATAGACTTGATGTATTCACATACTTCTGTTGTGTTTTCAGTTTTGTGATGCTGTTACTTTCTGTACTCAATGTTTAAAATCTGTCCCTTGTGATCAAACAGAAAATTTCAGCTATTCTAGTATTATGTGCTTACACTTTTTAAAGGTCAAGACCTTTTTTTTTCCTGTCTTTTCTTGCTGATTTTATTGTTTTGTGTTTGTGTACCGTCAAATTGACTGGTACAGGAGATTGCCCCTCCTTCTCCAGCAAAGCATCTGGTGGATTTGAACCACATACCTTTGGAATACATCTCCGGAGTAATATATGATCATCTGACTCAAAATGCCCCATGCCAGTCCATCTCATCTCTCCAATGCCTAGTATGTCAATATTTATGCTTTCCATTTCTTTCTTAACAATTTCTAATTTTCCTACATTCA